TATATATATATATATATATATATATATATATATATATACGATTATCCCGGAAATATGCAGCGGTCGTTCGGGAAACATTTCGTATCTCTACGCTCTTCATCCTTCATGTCCCAATTCTAGATGGATACGAAAGGCCACAATAAATCTTGATCGAGAACTTGTAGCTCTCCATAAGAGCGATACCTTGGAGACAGGGGAAGTAGAGAATCAATTCTCGATCGTAAGCATTCTCTTCCCTTAGTTGTTTTCAAAGTCCGCACACTTTGCCAGACAAGGCAACAAGCTGCCTTAACTAAAACTCTTGGAACTTTTAAAATAGATTTATGTTGTGTCACCGAAATACGCATGTAAGACCCAACTTCAATGGTAACGCTTCATTCCCCAGCTACAAACTAGGCTTCTCATTTCACTCTTTGCGTGCTAGATGTTTCGTTTTTCTGTGATCGCCATCAGGCTGGCGTTAGTATCGCTCTGAGCATGGAAGTTGAGCGTGCATTGCTTGACTGGATTCAAGTCAGCAGTCGTCTGTGTGCAGTTCGGTTGGACGGTTCTGTGCATGTCAGAAGCACGACTAAAGCGTCGATATTTATTCGTCGTTTCTGTGTATGTCCCAGCTGATTGTAGCTCTCATGAGGCGAAAGATGAGTTCTATCAAGATTTGTCTCAACCATTCCGCAGCGTTCGCTCTACGGACATCATGGTGTGATCAACGATTACACACACACACACACACAGATGAGATGAATGAAAAATCCGGAATGATCGTTTATAGGCTTTAATCAGTTTGGAATCAGATCATACAACTGAAATGAAATATGAGAACTATTAGGAAAAATGTAAGTGTAACACAGTGAAACAAGAGTATTCAGTTTGCCACATTCATCTCCTCCGGGAATGATTGGCCAACGGTGTGGAGATTCAGAGATATAACTCAGCGAACTGCCCGTGTCAATGAGAGCATGTATGGGAATGTTATTGACTTCTATGTTAACTACAGAATTAGAGGGACAGGGCGGAACAGCGACAATTGTAGTAGCGAATGAGCGAATTGGTAGTCGAGGAAACATGTAGCCGGGAGACTGTTTTCACTTGAGACAAAAATCGACATACCCGTTGAGTGTCTTCTTTTATCACAAGATTTACACAACACGCCTCGGGCTGGACAATTTGTTCTAAGGTATCGAGCAAGACCGCAAAAATAGTAGGAACTTGCCGTTATGAGTACAGGATTTCCAACTGAAACGGAGTTAACGTGCTAGTCAGAAGGTGCGTTTTTAGCAGATAAGGAATACGAAGATGAAGGGTCAACAGCATATGCCATGGATTACTTCTGAGCTAACTGTAATTGTCTTGCAATGTCATAAGTAGTTTTCAGGTCTAAATTCCTCTCTTCTATGAACCTTTGACGAATGTGATTCGACAGTGATCGACGAATAAATGCATCTCGAATAAACTCCTCACGATACAGCTCAGCAATAACGGATTTGAAATCGCAGTCGGTAAGAAGTGTTTTCATCTTCTGAAAAACTGGTCAAGAGATTGACCATGTTCTTATCTTGTAGTTAACAGTGCATATCAAGCGAAGATAGCATTTCTTGGTTGTATGTACAAACCTTTTTAGAGCACTTATGGCCTTGTCCTAATCCGAACAATACGCAATGTGTCTGTGGATAGATGGAACAATAAAGTTCGTCAGAGTGGCAAGTTTGTTGCCGTGGAATGGATCAACTGCAGTGAGAAAGTTATCAGAGGTTTTATTCTAATGAATCCAGTTGTCAGAATCGTCTGGCGAGTAAGGGGCAACGTCGAAACAATCAGGTTGAAGTATACGTTCCATATCCAAACTGAATAAATTGTGATGAACAACTACACGTAAACACGCATAGATGAGATAAATAAAAAAGTCGGGATGATTGTTCATAGGCTTTAATCAGTTTGGAATCAGATCATACAACTGAAATGAAATATGAGAACTATTAGGAAAAATGTAAGTGTAACACAGTGAAACAAGAGTATTCAGTTTGCCACATTCATCTCCTCCGGGAATGATTGGCCAACGGTGTGGAGATTCAGAGATATAACTCAGCGAACTGCCCGTGTCAATGAGAGCATGTATGGGAATGTTATTGACTTCTATGTTAACTACAGAATTAGAGGGACAGGGCGGAACAGCGACAATTGTAGTAGCGAATGAGCGAATTGGTAGTCGAGGAAACATGTAGCCGGGAGACTGTTTTCACTTGAGACAAAAATCGACATACCCGTTGAGTGTCTTCTTTTATCACAAGATTTACACAACACGCCTCGGGCTGGACAATTTGTTCTAAGGTATCGAGCAAGACCGCAAAAATAGTAGGAACTTGCCGTTATGAGTACAGGATTTCCAACTGAAACGGAGTTAACGTGCTAGTCAGAAGGTGCGTTTTTAGCAGATAAGGAATACGAAGATGAAGGGTCAACAGCATATGCCATGGATTACTTCTGAGCTAACTGTAATTGTCTTGCAATGTCATAAGTAGTTTTCAGGTCTAAATTCCTCTCTTCTATGAACCTTTGACGAATGTGATTCGACAGTGATCGACGAATAAATGCATCTCGAATAAACTCCTCACGATACAGCTCAGCAATAACGGATTTGAAATCGCAGTCGGTAAGAAGTGTTTTCATCTTCTGAAAAACTGGTCAAGAGATTGACCATGTTCTTATCTTGTAGTTAACAGTGCATATCAAGCGAAGATAGCATTTCTTGGTTGTATGTACAAACCTTTTTAGAGCACTTATGGCCTTGTCCTAATCCAAACAATACGCAATGTGTCTGTGGATAGATGGAACAATAAAGTTCGTCAGAGTGGCAAGTTTGTTGCCGTGGAATGGATCAACTGCAGTGAGAAAGTTATCAGAGGTTTTATTCTAATGAATCCAGTTGTCAGAATCGTCTGGCGAGTAAGGGGCAACGTCGAAACAATCAGGTTGAAGTATACGTTCCATATCCAAACTGAATAAATTGTGATGAACAACTACACGTAAACACGCACAGATGAGATAAATAAAAAAGTCGGGATGATTGTTCATAGGCTTTAATCAGTTTGGAATCAGATCATACACCGGAAATGAAATCTGATAACTATTAGGAAAAATATAAATGTAACACAGTGAAACGGAAGTATTTGGTTTATCACACATGTTGCTGGTGATTTCAGTGCTCAAGATGGAAGCCTAAACGAGACAAAGAGGAATATAGGAGGCCGATTTGGCGTTCCAGTAGATCAAACACAACGGTGATTGACTCATCCAACTATGTTCCCACCGTAGACCATCACACGCGGCACCGGTTAATCTTGCGTTCTCTTGCTCCTTCACAGCGTTGGACTCACATCGACCATATTGCTATCGGTTACCACTGGCGCGGATCAATTCAAGGTTGTCGGTCATTTTAGTCCACGTCTGTAACCACTGATCAGACTCTTGTTCGCGGGAGTTTCAGTCTGCGTCTTGTCGGTGGCCGAAATAACACCACTGGACAATAACCATCGATCTGCTTTCCAAGCAGAATTATTCGCCAGATTATCGATGCAGTCAAATTCCCGGGATCCAGAAGAGCGATATGCAGAAATCAAGCAGGTTCTACTTGAGGCTGCTGATGCTGCCCAGTGTCCAACAGCCAGACACACGGAAACGATGGATATATGCATCTCAAGTTGCGCTGTTAGATACGCGCAGATCAACTCCTTCGGATTCCAGATACGATGGAGCACGGAGATGCCTTAAACGGCAACTGATTTCAAGTCTGAGAAACAACTGTCAGCAGTGTTGGATTGCGAAGTGTAGGAAAATGGAAAAAGCATTTCGATAAACAATTTAACCGGCCTTTATCCACAACGGGTTTCCTAACTAGCATGATGGCTACAACTCTATATGTGGATACCAATCCTCCGTCAGATGCGGAGGTTCTTCGTGAGATAATCTGCCTTAAGTGACATAAATCTGCTGAGCCGGGTGGGTAACCTCCGTCTATTTTCAAAGACGGTGAATCAGCTCTGTTACTGAAGTTGACAGAACGCGATTCGATATGAGAGCAGGAACAAATTCCAAAGGATTGGTGTCAATCGATGATCGTACCGATTTATAAGAAGTGCTACAGGTTCTCATGTAAAAACCGCAGGGGAATGGATCTGATTAGCATCGTATCTAAATTGGTGCGTGGTGTCATTCTCCACCGCTTACCTAACGCTCGCGATCAGTGCTCGCGGGAGAACCAAGCTGGGTTTAAGCCCGGTTGAGGTTGTGCTGATCACACCACTGTTCTACAAATTTCGGGACATAAGCACACCTTGATATATATATATATATATATATGCGTATGTATGCGTACCTGGTACTCTGCCCACTCATCTTACTTGCACGTTCCGATATTATATCTTCACTGAGATCTAATTTGAATCGTCTGGTTACTCCTAATGGAGGAATCCACAAATGAATCACAACTGTGATTTCTGTTAGTTATTCGTGTCTAGGTCACCGCTAATCCAACGAACAACGAGGCTGCATGTGTAAGCGATCATATTGATGCTAAGTGGTTCGTAAATTTGCTGACAACATTTCCGGGGTACATATATATAATGAGTGGCGACTACATCGAAACCGGTCCTGTGCTTCCTGGAAAGTTTTGCCCACACATTTACATGCTACTTACTGTCAGTATATATATATATATATATATATATATATATATATATATATATATATATATATATATATATTTCGAGAGGAATTGTGTACTTATTGTGCGAATAGGAAAGATGTGCCTCATGCGGATTTCTGGAGCAATTAAATCTGTGCGTGCCTTTTCACAGTTTGATATTCTCGGTTGCTCTTCCACGATTGCCTCCATCCACTTAGCCGTGTTTGCGATCGGATTTTGATGAGAAGCGGTAATCTACACTGATTCATCTGTTTCCAGGTCAAACACTTTCAGCAGTGAATCACTTCTTTTGCGGTAGATGATTCCCAATAAGGAAGCGTGGTCCGGAGTTGGATGCATATGTTTTGACGTAGATTCAACCGTGTGTACGGATGAAGGGCTGGATGAACTCGCTCGTTTTCTGAAGTGTGAAGATCGAATAGAGCTCATGTACGAATTTCATATGTACTTCTGATGTAAATATTCCAATAAGTACAAAACAGGCAATGAACGGAGAACTGGACTTCCGACAAGCTCTTACGTCGCGTCTGGCCTTGATGAAACCCACCAAGGATGATATTTCTCGGTATTTGTCCTCGAAGAAGCCTAGCTTAACAGAAGGTATTGAGTAGGTTAATCCTGTTTTGTGCTCCATCTGGCATCACATTTGCACTTGTCCGATTTTCGAATTTCATCTACTTAGCTATTTCCCACATTGCCAATGCATTTTTTCCTGTTTACTTGATTCATAGTTTAAATGGAATGGAATCCCTCCTTCCGAAAACGTTCACATCAATGAATGGGACAATATAATTTTAACCTTTCCGTCACTCAGCATGACATCTTTCCTGCTAACCTATGATAGGCTATTGTCTTGTTTCTTCAGGCCGGGTTTACATGGCAAAAGGTATGAAAACCTTGAGCAGTGGACTTGGCCAAGTAAGATGTCTTTGACTTCCTGGTTGGGGTCCACGAGACTCAACTCTCAGATGGTTGGAGATTGTTTTTACCATTCAAAGCCAGTGGCAAAAGAGTGCTATATAGTTTAGTGTTGATTTTCGACAAACTGCCGTGAGCCAGCCCGGATAGCTACCCAATCGTTCACTCTGGGTTTAAGTCCCGATAGGGGCCCATGGGAATTTGCACTGTTAATAGTTTTCAACAAGGATGAAGCGGTTGTACAGTGCCTCCATAGTTCGAGTTTGTTACTTAAGAATGAATTATATTATGCCAATTTGATCCCCTTTTTAGTTAAATTGCAATAAAAATATTGGTAACTGGTTTGTTTATCTCATCTCTATGTGACTCATGCATCTATCACCAACTCGTCTTTTGGTTAGGAGGAACGTGAAAACCGGCGATTAACATGTGAGCAATCGAGATAGGGTTCTAATCAGTTGTGCAAAGGCTAGAGGTACATCCTCGAGCAAAAAAGGCTTAACGAGGTTCCGTCAATCATCCTTCTACTCTGAACTGGGTGACGGAGTAGGACATCAGCCCGCAACTCCTCAACTAATTCACGTGGATTCCAATTTTGCGAACATTTAAGTTTCCCTCCACGTTACTTCCTGTATTTGTGGTGTTGGCATCATGCCTGGTTTCAGGCCTGGTGAATAATGATAAAATATATTAAATCTATTACTTATTGATTTTTCTCAAGTTAGGCTGCGTGGTCCGTCGTACCTTGCCCTCAGTGTTGAATAAACTGGTGGTAATGATTGCGCGCGTCAGCCCCCGGTTTAGATCTTGTTGACATAGTTTCGACTATTTTGATACGTATTTAAACGCGAGCATAGTGAACTGAAGTTAGCTTTCTGCACATAGAACTCTGATTAAGTTAGGAGGGGAAAACTCACCCAAAAGGAATCAATGTTCATGTTCGGCTCACCTCGCTTCCTACCAATTCGAGTTTATCGTGATTCACAGTTATGTCGAGTCTCATTCGGTCAGATTAAACGTAGCGGTATCAGACTAAAAGACCTACTTGTTTCATCTTAGAAATTCTAATGATCTACCAGGTATCCTGATATGAGAGTCTGTTGCATTCAAAAGTCACAATAACTGATCTGCTAGCACAACCTCTGCGTGCTGTCTTTCTGTTTTTTTTTGGTTTGCTGGAAATCTTTCTTTTTATCTCATATCTAAGTACCAGTATCCTGATGGGGTTAATTTATGTAATGGTTCAGCATCTATGAGAAGGGAAACGGGCAACCATGATGTCGAGGTATAGGGTGACGAGCATCGAGTTCATCTGTGGCAAGGAATTAAATGAAAACACGATTGTCTGACACCCGATTCCACCTTTACTAGCTAATGTGCTCATTCCCAGAAACAGAATAAGGAATTCTTCATAATCTCAATCTACTAATCATTGTTGTCGCATAGTGATGCTTCATTTCGTTCAATACATACTGAATTTTCTCGATTTGTGCCTCACCAGTAATGGCGGATACTCTTGTCTTATTATTATCATCCTATTTGACAGCACTATTGTTGAAAAGCTTAAGTCCAATGGGATTGAAGTTTACCTAGTCAGCGGTGGCTTTGATCTCTTGGTGAATCCAGTTGCAGCTTCTCTGAACCTACCCCAAGAAAATGTGTATTCGAACAAGCTACTATTCGCGGATGATGGTAAATATCAAAGTTTATGTAAATGTTCTTTATTGCCTAAGGCGCATAATTCTAATTACTTGAGGAACTTGAAAATACTGAACTCCGATATAAAAATATGCGGTGGAAAACCGGATTGTTTTTGACGATTCTTAGATGAACAAATACTACACATTTTTTAGGTATTGAAGTTAGGATGATAGAAAAAAGCAGTAACCATGCTGATGAAGATTACCAATTACGTATCCAAATTTTTATAGGTTTATGTGTTTCATGAGAGGTAATGTGTCCTCATGCGTTCTATATAGGTTGTATATTTGATGAATACGTCACAATGTTTTGACTCAGTAGTCATGGTAAACCCAGAGATCTTGCGTGTTGTTCCTGAGCGCATTGAAGGTTTTGTTCAGGCGAATCGCGATCGCCCCGGTAGTGGCTAAGTGGTGAAACGAGAGACATTATTTGGATTGGTTGTATCATCTGATTCTATCAGATGGGTGACAATCGTCGTTTTATCTGCGCTTCCGCGGTCCTTGGTTCAACCAACACTGACGGTGTTCACTAATGCGTTCAGACACTGGTCTTGTGATTTAACCTACGTAACTTGTTCGATGGGTACAAACGAATTTGTAAACACAGTGACATAAACAACAGAGTGCCCGTGGATTCCATTTCTCATTCATTGCTTATGTGTATTATCAATTATAATATCATTTTAATTTGGTGTTTATGCGTTTGCTCTTGGTAAAACTCATTCTGTTATCTAAGGATAAAGTCCATGCCCTTGGAAATTCTTTTTCGGATACATTTTACTCGTCCTTAGCCACCGTGATGAAAGAGCGTTCTATGATATTTTAGGTTCCTATGCCGGTTTCGATACAGGCGCACTCACGTCCAAATCGGAAGGCAAGGCTCTTGTAGTGGCCGAACTGATCGAACGACTGCACACAAAGGTAGTGATAGTCGGCGATGGAATGACTGATGCACGCGCCTGTCCACCTGCCACTCACTTTGTGGGGTTTGGTGTGAACGTAGATCGGCCATCGGTGCGTGATTCTACGCCTTATTTCTGCACCAGTGTGGATCAATTGGAACAGCTGTTTCAGTCTGTTGGTTTGATTCGTGACTAGCGTGACACAAACAATTGGTTTTGACAATGAAATGCAAGTGAATGTCACTTATCATTCAAACGTTTCGACTTCACCCCCTTTGCTGTAAATCTTTCAGCGTCAGTAAATATTTCGACCCAAAGCTCTGTTATTAATATTAAAAGAGGCTATACAGATGCAGGTCTGTGAGGTGTGGTTTCATGACCTTGACTCCTTATAATGGTTTTCCCTTCACTGGCGTCTCATAAATATTCGCTAATTTGCAAGACAGGTCGCGGTCTACTAAGAAAAACTGGATTATGCTTGGAAATGTTTTCGGGGAACTTTTTGCGTTTCCTAGTTCGAAATAGAATACTGTTGGCAGTCGCTGCGATTGGGAAAATGGAGTGAATTAAAAATCAATTTAAAGAGGCTTCATGACAAAATTAGGCATAAACTAAATGTTGGAATCACAATAACATATGCTTGTTGGCTGTCCGTTTGTTGGTCCGCCCTGCTCTAGGAGGATTCATTTGGTGTGTTTTTTCAAGCGGCTTAATACAATCTGGATAGGAAGCTTAGCTCGATACTGCAGTAGTCGTTAACCTGAGTTTTAGCATCCAAGTTGTCTCGTTCTTCTTTCTGCATGGTATCGTCATTGATATGGTTTTTAGACGATCGTCATGCGAGGACAGAGGCACCAAACCTTTCTATCTGGTGCTACCTGTTGTTGAAGCGTGTACCAGGAAAATTACCTTCCATTATGAAGTCCCTGTACAGTTCACTTCGGTTCAAACAACCATTAATTATGCACTGGGTGAAGCGGTTTTGGTTACTACCTCACAATGGGAATGGAAATAATGGAGAAAAAACAAGAGGAAAGTAAAAGGACAATCACAGATTGTACCAGATCGACAAAGAAAGTTTGTGAATACAAGAACACCACTGGTCGCGACACTAAACCATATCCTCAAACATATCTAACTACTGACTGGAGGACCTTTTGAACCTCACACCCAAAGCCTAACACGCCCTACTTGGCCAAGTCCACTCATTGGGTTTTTTCATGCCTTTCTTCCGTGTCCCGGCCTGACCACTCATCTTCCAACCATTACCTGTCTCAGCAAGCACTGCTGGTTGAGGAACCCTATCAGGAGTCGTGTGAAAAACGTCCCAACCACCCTAGCTTGATGACCTTTAATGTCTCATCTGATGATTCGATTCGTGTACCTAATACTCTTTGTAATATTGCTCGGTTTCGCGATCAGTGGTGCTGTTGTATCCATAGATGTTCCTTTTGGACTTGGTATAACTATTGGTAGTTCTCATTTTACTCCTTCCGTCCTCTTGTTTTATTCATTATTTCCGGTTGAGGCTCCCGAAGAGAGATAACAACCAAAACCACTGCACGCAGTACATGGTTAATCATCGTTTGGACTGATGTGATTGGTCAAATGCCAGGGCTAGGATATGCAGACGACAGTGTGAATGCACGAATAAGCCGTATGCCTAACTGAAAAGGTTGGGTAGTTGTGTAGCAGTGTTCGAAACGCGTGTGTTATATTAAACATGCGGAGTTAAATTACAGAAGTGGGTTTGTGCAAAACCGAGTAATACTAAGTCGATGGAAATAACAAGTGAGACAAATACCTATAATTACCGAGATTACTTCATTTTGTGCAGCAGTCAAATATCTAATTATGGGGCATATATACCAGAATAGCGTTTGATTTTCGTCATCTTCAGCTGTCTGTGAAGTCGATGTGACATCCCTTTGTTCTTCATGAGTTGAATCTACTCTGTGGTGGTTGTGCCGATTAAGTAAACTGGACACTACGGGCGGAAGGCACGAAGATTAACAGTGCTTGTGTCATGACGTCTTTGCAGTTTCTCTCGAATCATTACTGCTGAGGTTTCGCGTAGATTGTGGACACTGGAGGGGAGTTACTAGATCAGGTGCCCAACCGAAACAGGCTACGTTATATTGAACCGTTTGATGTATTTCTCGGATAGAGTTTCTCGGGGCGCATTATTCGCCGAGGGGGTTGATGAATAACATGAATAAATGTAACCAGTTTGCAGTTTTGTAAAAGAAAACGCGAAAACTAGCAGTTCTCTATGATTAGAAACATTAGGTGATATGGCAGCGTTCGCCTATTACATTGAGTGAATTACAGTAGAACGGATAAATTCCCTATTCCGCAGACGATGGCAATCATCAAATGAGCATGCCCATCAAGTACCAACTGTCTGAATGCGGTGCTTACGAATGAGTTCTTCTGATGGTTAACCTTTAGGCCATCCGCGCTTGATGCTTCGCTTTGCATCAGCCCATGAAATAACGTCACTTGTACTGAGTGAAGACTGCCATTACACGAACACGCACGGATCGACTCCCCGGAGAAACTTTGTCCTGGTAACAACTCAGCAACCGTTAATTCGCCAAGTCTGCCTACTTTTTTTTTGTCAACAGTAGAACGTGATGATGTTTCCTCTTGCCATATGAATGCAGCGGCCACGCTGCACTTTACTACAACCAAACTTCCGACAAGGTCAGTGAATAAAAACTCTTGGTGATAGAATTAATTCGTTGTCACTCTGCCCGTTACTAAGCCTGACCGGTTAGAACCTTACATAGGTCCCCGTTCGACCCCTCATGGTCAGGTTGCCGGTTATTTATGATAATGCAATGGGCCTTTGGGGCTATATGGTAGGCTTATTCCACTGCTCCCTTGAGCTAGAATATCGTACTAAAAAAATAAATAGCCAGATACATCGGTCTACAGGTAACTTTGGTTTGCAAGGCAAATTAGAAGACGCTTAAATGAGCATATGATTTTTAAGCACCAACCAGCTAGTTGAAGAAAAATCATGACGAGACAAAATCGTTTCTATAATCGTATTTCAAACTGATCTGAATTATACCGAAATAAAGGGTGGAAAGATGATTGCTTACCAGTTAAGATTTCTGGAGACTTGAGAAAGAGCTATTTGGCGTCCAAGTACAATGAATAAATCAATAACACCCGTGATTCATCGTTAGACAAGTAGAGCAATAGCATGGAGACTAGCGTATCAAATTAGTGGGTTGTTCCGAGTAACTGGTAAACTCATTTTCAGAAACCATGAGCACCCCACCAGCCAGGATATGGTGGTCGTCTGGATCCCCAAGGTCTCCAACGAGGGCGATCGTGCATCGGTGAAGGATTCATTTCTCTCTCCCAATCGAAGTCATTTTCGGATTCGTACTCCTGTTCCGCCGCCTCCTCCTCTTGTCCTAGTGGTGGAGGTTCATTACTTTCATCTGACTCGTCTTCGTACTGTGTCTGTTCTTCATAGCCGCCACAAGGAAAATCCGATTCTGTTTCCGAGTCAACTTCGTTGTCGTCAGCATTATCCATGTTTGTCTCGGAGGGTGTGGCAGTTGTTGGCCGTTGGACTGCAGATGTACGAGGCGAATCCGGGTCCAACAGTCTTCTGAGTTCATCGTTGAGTATTCCATTCTTTCGGGGACCACTCTGGGCCTGTATCGCGACTAGACATATCACCAAGATAACCCAACTAGAACGCATGATTGTGAAAATTTAAGGAACGTTAACACATACACTTATTTATTCGGCAGCTTTGTTTATTCGAAGGGTTCGCGTGATTCGTCGTTGTTCATTTTGGTGTGGGCCATTGGTAACGAGACAGGAAGTGTGCATAGAACATCAACGTGTAGGCTGCAGTCATGTGGTGCAATCAATGATCGAAAGTTACTTGTTTGGAATGACATACCTAAGTGTAATTGTGAGCGTTTTATCTAGCTGCAAATCGAGAGCGAGAACGGCCACCCGGATCATACGAATAGTCAGTTGTCACACTAGTTTATACCGTTTAACATTGTATGCTAGATTGCCGAAAAACTCGATAAAGAACGATGCTAACATCGTTATTATTGAGGCAAGAGTGTTTCACTCGGTGCATTATTTTACCTTCCACCAATGTATTTGGTATGGAACCAATTAGATCTTTAAATGCCACTTCAAAATTTGGTTCAGAAACTATCCCCATTACGGCAAACAATTATTCGGATCGTCCATAATGCCTAAAACGTGTGATCGTATAGTCGGGATTGGATATATGAATGAATTCGAGATCTTCCCTTCAAGCCAGTGCAAAAATAATAATAATGAACGCAACAACCCACTGTACTTTCCTGAAGCATCGGGAACCCGGACCATAGAGCTCTGTGGGAGACTTAATAGGACCGACACAGGACAAGTGCACCAAGGTGTTGGACGTCGGCGAAGCTGTCTAATACGGTATGGATATAGGCTAGTGTCAGCCTTCACGATGGGCTAAGAAAGTAGATCCATTTAAGCGATGGACCACATATCTTCAATAACGATCTACAACTACTCTGTGTTCGTCAGGTTACACCGGGAGGTTATCAGATTCACGGTGAACACAGTATTGAACTACTGTCGTCCCCAGAAATTACATCCTATGAGAATAATTTTTCACTTGAAAACTCGTGTCGGGATGTCACAATAAACATTAGTAACCTCCGTATCGGTAGAAACGTGTTTTCACCAGACGAGATAGACATGAGTTTTGGGCAGACAGTAATCTCAAGAGTTAAATGTCGCTTGAATATATGACTTTAACGGAAAATGGGACAACGTTATTCACAGATTCATAACAGGCGAGAAATTGGTATAATCGACAAGGGATGGATGACGAGGTAGAGGATCTCTTGCCTGAGCAAATTTACTATCGTTATTTTTTTTCGTTGCGGCACAAAACTCATGTTAGAACTACCATTTTATATTCTGAGGTTGATTAATTAAGTTAACCAGAAACGTTAATAATTATTATAGAGTGTTTTCCGTTTCCTTGAGGAATGTTGATGTTTAGGTGCTTCCGACTCGCCTTTTTTCTTCTGAAAAAGATTCACGTTCATCATTCTTAGGAGCTAATAGTCCGCCGTTAGATTATATCACTGACGAGATCAAAGCAGCAATAACTGGCATTCGAAACAGTATCGTTATTGTTACATTTGAGCGGCGAATTATGTCCGTTGAATCAAACGGCCTTGTGTACGTGTTCCTAAGGCAGCATGCGTATTCTCGGAGTTGGTATGAGTGGAGTTGCAACTGTTCTACTAGTCTGGTTGTTTAAAAGAGCCAAATGAGAGAATACTTGTACATGAGAAAATTAGTTAACCCCTGTTACTTATGATTGATTCACTTCAGAAAATACACTGGCTGGATTTGGGAAGCGTGCGGCGTCCCGCATCCTTCAATTTTGGCTGAATGAAAAAGTGAATTTTGTTTTCAGTCAAATCGTAGAAAATTGTTTAATCATCATGGAGATGGAAGACGACCATTGGCGGTCAAGCGGTTTAGAAGGTTTGCTTTTCAACCCGGAGGTCGCCATTGTGGGTTACTTTTATGGCAGATAGTAATCCAGTGTCGTCCTGTTCGTTACCATGTGATATGTTGGTACTGTATGTGATTCTCTACTGCAAGTCTCAGGGTCCGGTTACCATCTATCCCTAATAGTGCAATAGGCATTTGTAGCTAAAATATACGTCGTCCAACGCACTCATGTGCAAACACGTAATGAAAAAATGACACAATGACCCGGACCTGTCGTGCAATTAAGTGTTCTTTCAGGCTTCTAAACTGAATGGGGCCTAGGACCTGTCAAATAGCGCTTTCTTCTTCAGAAGTAGTCTCAACTTGTGCGCTGAATGTTGGAAAATCGATCCGTGATGTTGCAGGAAATTACGAAGCCTCAATCTGTTCGTAAGATTTCAGATTTACTGAGTGATGTTTGTAAGACCCACACCTTTGTGGAGTGGTCGTGGTCGGTAACCTATCTGTGCCGAAACACCCTTTTAATAAATCCTGTCTATACCTGTTCTCACTACTTTACAATCGTTTGTTTATTGGATTCAACTGAGACCGCAACCACTACAAGATTTGCCGATGTGTGCACTGAAATCGAATCTCCACATAGTGTCCAGTTATATCAGGTCTAAATACGTTGATGAATCAAACGATAACGGAGCTGCCAGCTCTGATGTATTTCACAAGTGAGCAGTGGGTCATTTCTGTGGGCGGTGATAGACATCAGGTCCGATCCAGTTTCTGCTCACAACAGCACATCTAATAGATGAAGCGAGATGAATAACAAGTGCCGTCACAACTGCTAACTGTGGAGTAGAGATTTTGTGGAATTGTCCGATTAATCCCACAAAACACATGGAGAACAACACAAGGGGGCGAACAAGCTCATTTTCAGTGGTTCGTAATCATACCATTGCATCGCACTTTATATGGAGGCAATGGAGTAGTATCAAGTTCAATCGTCGCTCACTTGTTGGAATCTGGGCCTTCAATCGACATCCAGTCCGCCTTCAAAGTCGTCTATCGGGCCCCACAACACGTGTCAAGAGCAACTAGGCTCCGGATACTAGTAACTGCCGAGGAAATTATCATCCGCCTCTCGAAGCCTGAGCTTTGCGCGCGGCGAAGATTAGTCCAAGAACTACAACTCCCATGGCCAGCACTCAACTGTGTTATACAGCCGGGCGCAGCGGTGACGTAAGCTAATTAGCATCGGTTACATAATCTGGTTATTCACACGGGTTTCCGTCCTTCCTCGCCCTTAATTCTCCGTACTGACTTAGTGAGCCTTTTTCCAACTCCTCTCAATAATTCGTTTGCATATAAATTTGGTCGTAAAGGCTCGAGAATGAAATCACCGGAAACATATGTTCGCCTACAACTCGTGTTCTGAGTACTATGATGGGCTTATTCCGCAGTCTGTGTTTGATGTCATTAGTCTGATCAATGGATCTGTGGTTTGTTTGGGGGTAGGGGTGGGCCAAGGAAGCTTTAGTGCTTGCACGAATTGTTTTTGGGCGCATAACGGAGGATTGTAGAGACGAATGCATACCGCTTCCGCTGTAGCTAGGACACGGCACTTCTCCAGTCTTAATTGCCCACTTCGAACTTTGTAAATTGGCCGGAATGCTTCGGTCACATTCACTGAGCGGCCAGACTGGAAAAGGCTTGAACACAGCGCTCATAGTTACTTTGATTGCTCCCGTGTTCAACGAAGCCGGGTGGTGTTCACGGACTCGTTCGGATAAGTGCCTGGTCATACGGCCAATGTATGTAGTCCCATAGGAACAAGTAAAGGAGTATACACAGAATGAGGCCATAGAATCTCACACCTTATCCTTTAATCGTAAATACACACACGACTTTGATGTAAATACAATATGGAGCTTTGCCGCGTAAAATGTTTTATCGACAGCTCATGATAATCTGCTGTGTATAATATCCCCTGGGATATCACCTTTGAACGGCCAGCGGATGTATACTGACTTTTTTGGGATAACTTTGGTCTTCGCTCTCTCTTCCACTTTTCGCATTGCACACATCTAGAAAAGGCCATTTCATTGTTTTTCTTTTTTCATCGTAAAATGGATATTAGGATGGGCTGTGTTAAATGTGTTTAACAACGTTTATGTCTATGGTGTCATCTGTCACGTACATCATATCATCCACATGGCGTTTATAAAGTACACATTATTTGATGGGCGACTGCGGTTGGTTATTCTCATTGCCTTGTCTTGATTTCTGTTCTGTTCACTTAACATTGTTCATATAAAATGTGACGTAAGGGCATGATTACGAATCACTGAAAACGAGCTTGTTCACCACCTTGTGTTGTTCTCCATTGTGTGGAATACTGTTTAAAACTCGGTATACAGAATTGCCAGAAAAGCATATGAGATCAACCCAAGCTCTGTATCTTCAGATAGAATGAATGCAGAGCTCGAAGTGAGCCTCATTTGTTCATCCTCCCCTGGGCAAATACACTCCATAAATTCTAGTAGAAGCATATGTTCGTTTAAAAAATTCCTGTTATGTGCTAGAAAATGAAACGGTAATCCAGCAATACGGGTATAAGTGCCATTGGTCCAGCTCAATGTCAGCGCACACTAGATCTATCGAATTTCCGCTCTGGCTGGCTTTTATTTGAGTCCTCTTGTTTGACCGTAATCACCAGTTTACTCAAATGCATTCGTCGGATTACTTGTCCGGCCTCTGGATTTTGCTCGTGCTTTGCTTATTGTAAGACTCTAAAAGTCATTCATTGTCTGAACTTCTGACCCTATTTGTCAGCTACCCACTAGCGCCTGCTCCTAACGTCAGTTAAAACATTGAGTTCCCTTTATCCCGGTCATAAGAACAGAAGGAAGACAAGTCGCAAGATGCATGCATTTCGTATTGTCTTATCTACCACGAACGTAAGCCATTTTATATGATACTAAAATGATCAGATTGTAATGTAAATGTAGGATCGTGGTGGTGCACTTACTTAGCCTCAGCTCATGGAGCTTTTTTCCTGCTGTGTTTTTGAAGACTGGGCAGATGCAATTCCCTTCGGAAGAGCGCTGCTCCTCGCATACTATATTTTTGGCAC